TAGAATACTATACAGTTATCTGGAAATAAATTTTTATTATGAAAAATAAAAAGTGTAAGTTATAAAGCAATTTAAAATTAAATATTAAGAAAAAATATAAATATATTTTCAAAAATATTTTATCATGTGGATGTTTTTCAACACTATAATAAGCATATAGATTTTGATGACTATTATTTGCGAAGTGATTTTTCGCAACGGAGCTCTCACGTTAAAAGATAGAGCGGTTAATATCTATTTTACCCTTAATGGAAATTTTATATATAACTAATTTTATAATTAAAAACGAAATTTTAAAAATAAAATTAGATTAGTATGTTATTATCTTAGATAACTGAGGATAATTAATATAATAATTTCATAAAAAATCAAAAATAAGATAATTCTTATATCTGTTATTATTATCTGAATATAATATTGTAATAACATGATAATGCTTAAATATTTTAATTTTATATATAATTGATTTTGGCTTTTGAAAATAATATCATTCTATTATAAAATTTAAAAATTAAAATATAAAAATTGATATATAATTAAATATTAATCAAACAAAAACATTTCTGTAAAGATACTTTTAATTATATAATTAAATATCAGATAGTAAAAATTGGAACGGTTGATCAAGTTAATGACAGCTTTAATGAAATTTATATATTTATATTTAAATTAGTTAAAAACGAATTGTTAGTGATAGAAATTTATATGTTATTATATTAGTTAATTTATTATAAATTAATAGGATAATTGTCCAAATTCATGCATATTTAAAATATAAAATATCTTATAGAATATTATACAGTTATCTGGAAATAATATTTTTATTATGAAAAATAAAAATGTAAGTTATAAAATAATTTAAAATTAAATATTAAGAAAAAATATAAATCTATTTTCAAAAATATTTTATTATGTGGATGTTTTTCAGCACTATAATAAGCATATAGATTTTGATGAAAATTCATATAAAAATATATTAATGTTTGACTTATATTTTTTAAAAACTATAAAAATAACTTATAATATTATTTTAGAATTAATAAAACAAAAATTAATAAATATTCGTAAGAAAATTATGTCCGCATATGCGGGTATAACACCTAGTAACAGTGTATTTGTATTAGTGGCGGACTATAACAGTGTATTTGTATTAGTTAAAACGGTAGGTACCACTTTACCGTTGAGAGTTGATGTATCCTGTCATTGATTGTGTATTTGGACAGCTGGTGATTATCTCGTGACTAACTCGTGCTTGTCTAGATTAAACTGTTTTCAAATATCTTTATATTATTTTTATCGATATATGCATCTATCTTATTAAAAGTGTAGTACTCATTAGGATTGTTTGGAAATTGAAATAGTAGTAATAAAATTTTTTAATGTTGTTTGGCTATCAGTTTAAATTTAAACGTGGATATAGATATTGCTTACTTACATATTTATTTTATTTTTGAATCTAAGAAATCGAATATCTAACAATTAAATATGCTTTCATATATTGATTACAATATATGATCTCTTAACATCAATGCTCTATAATCTTGCTTAGCAAGATCTTTATAAACCGGCCAAGAATTAAATATAAATTTCCTAATTATGTTCCATATATTGTGCACAAAATTTTAACAATATCTAACAAGGAATAACATATATTACTGTATATTTTCACCATAAATACAACTTAACCTAAATTTTTCATCCATCTATAAATACAGAGTGTAGAATTTGAGATTAGCCGTCAAGCTCTCACGGTAATGAGATCTAGCTTTTTCGAGTAACTATATATTCATTCATCCAACTTAACCTAGCTTTTTCGTACATCCTCTAATTTTATAATTTGATGCAGTTTCATGCAATTTTACTATTAATATTTTGTTCTTTTGTTAATTTATTTCAAAATGAAACAACATACTAAAAATTACTTTTTGAATTATATTTCTATGAATTATCAATAATTTTATGATTTTTTGTTTTCTTGAAAGTTGAATTCTCGAAATTTTATATTTAACTAAATTAAATAAGGTATACTATATTAAAATTTATTTTATATAATATATATTACATATTTCATTTTGTGTTTTTATTTTCACCACAAAAAAAAATATTGTAATTAATTAAATTATATAGTATTTTAAATGTAATGGTAGAATCTGTAAATAAAAAATACCAAAAAATATTTAATTTATTATAAATGCAATGGTTAAATGTGCTAATAAAATGAAGTACTTAATCTACTATCTATATTTCCAAACAATTCTCATTTATCTTACTATCCTTGTTTTCAAATAGTATCAAAAGGTATTTCGGTTTTAATAATATAGATATTAAAATTTATCTGAATAACTGGATTTTTATTTAAAACACCTCTCATCCCCCTAAATTAGTTTTTACCCCAATTTATCAAAATTATCTCTAAATATCATGATCAAATTGGAACCAAATATTTATCTGATATTAGTCGGTTATTATAATTGTTACCAAACTCAGTTCAAACCAAATGAACTGAACCAAACACAAATCAATTTACATAGATAACTGAACAGATCATATATCTCTATAACTAAAAAACTAAGAACATAAAGAGATGATCAACATAAGTTGAACCAAAAACCAAACCCCAGTCATACTACATTCAATACGATAATTAACATACAACATGGATCACAATTTCTGAAACACGGTAATAACTGATGACTTATGAGTTTATCATGTTTTCTCAAATTAACCTAAACCCACGCCGGTGCGCGGGTCAAGATCTAGTTCTTATTAAAATGAGTTCATACACAAAATTTCTCATATCACTCACTCTATTCAGAGAATCTTGTTTGGCAACTCAATGGATTCCAAGACGGAGTTGAAGCTCGTATCACTCGTTACTCACCTATTGTCTCCTAAAGACAAACTGAATTCCGACTGGGTTATGGATCCGAGGGTAAGATCATTTATTAGTAAGTCTATGTTTCTCATCAGGTTAATGGATTTGAACTCGCTGCCAAAGCCAGAGTCAGAGTTCATGTCACTCACCACTCAAATGATATCTCTTTTCTGCTATATGGATTTGGATTGCCAGCCGAAGCCACTGCCGGAGCTCATTTCACTCATTTCTCGAAATATCCAAGACCTCTCTATGTATTTGGACAAGAAGCTGCTGTCTAACTTCGCGTCACTTGTTCGTGGAACATTAGAACTTGAGCCGGAGCCGGAACTCATGTCACTGATATTAGGATGGTTCAATTGGTTTAGTATAACCGACCGGTTTAGGTTTATTTTATTCTTGGTTTAAGTTTCCGTTAGCTTAACCAACTATATATAGAAACATTTGTACATTTTGTAAAGTTGAGCTGAATAACAAACTTTACGGTTATTCTTTCATCTTCTCTCTTCTTCTTCGTTGTTCATCTCCTCCATTAACGAAGCTTCGAGTTCTTTGATCACAAGCTGAGAATCAACTTTGATATGGTATCAGAGCACACACATCGTTCTTCCGCTTCACGATGAGCTTTCCGGTAACTCTGTTTTCGCGATTCTTCGATCTGTTTCTTCTCGCGATTAGGGATTTCATTGTACGGATTGTTCTTTGCTTCGCGTATCTTCTTCGATTGATTCTCGGTTATCTTTGAAGACTTCTCTTCGTTTATTGAATTGGTTTAGTTGGTGGATTTGAATCTTGGATTTCTAATTGATGTCGAATCTTGGATCGCAATCGGAGCGTAAAACAGGTGATCAGTATGAGAATCCATACTATTTGCATCATACTGATCATGCTGGCCTTGTTCTGGTTACGGATCGTTTGAATACTGCTTCTGAGTTTCATTCTTGGAGACGTTCTGTGCGTATGGGATTGAATGTGCGCAACAAATTGGGGTTTATTGATGGAACTATCCCTAAACCAGCATCTACACATCGTGATTATGGTGCTTGGTCTCGTTGCAATGATATGGTGGCGACGTGGTTGATGAATTCTGTATCCAAGAAGATTGGACAAAGCTTACTTTTCATCAATACTGCAGAAGGTATATGGAAGAATCTCTTGACTCGTTTTAAGCAGGATGATGCACCTAGAGTCTTTGATATTGAACAGAAGTTGAGCAAGATTGAGCAAGGTTCTATGGATGTTTTAACATATTACACTGAGCTTGTGACACTATGGGAAGAGCACAAGAATTATGTTGAACTTCCCATATGTACTTGTGGTAAGTGTGAGTGTGATGCTGCTGCTCTTTGGGAGAAGTTACAAGAGCGAAGTAGAGTGACGAAGTTTCTTATGGGGCTCACAAAATCATATGATCAAACCCGGAGACACATCTTAATGCTGAAACCTATTCCTACTATAGAAGAGGCTTTCAACATTGTGACTCAAGATGAAAGGCAGCGTTCTATTAAACCTCAGACGCGTGTTGACAATGTTGCTTTTCAGAGTTCTGTTGATTCTGTGATCTCAAAGGAAGATGCTGCTTTTGTAGCTGCTTATGCTGCACGTCAATCTCAACGACCAGTCTGTACACATTGTGGTAAATCTGGACACACTATTCAGAAGTGTTTCAAGATTCATGGCTTTCCACCAGGGTATAAGACACATGGTTCTTATAAGAATCAGTCTCAGTCTAAACCTCAGCAGGTGCAGTCTCAAGTTCACATACCATTGACACAGGCTAATACTGCTCATGCGATTGCAAATGTGTATTCTACTGCTAGTTCTCCTATGTCTACTACGACTCCACATCTTACTACTGGTGGGAGTAACATCATGTTGCAGAACTTTACACCACAACAGATTCAAAGCCTCATTGCTCAGTTCAATTCTCATGTTCGGGTTCCAGAGAGTTCAGTTCCTTCCTCATTGACTAATTCCAAAGCATCTATTACTGATCACGGTATCATGGCTACTACTTCTACCTCTGGTAACATACCCTTTCCTTCCATAAACCTTACCTATGCCGATAATCATTTGAAATTTCAAAACCATTGCCTTTCTACTTTACCTTCTTTAATACCACATGATGCTTGGATAATAGATAGTGGAGCTTCTAGTCATGTTTGTTCTGATAGACGACTATTCTCTGCATTAACTCCAGTATCTCATGTTTCAGTTACACTTCCTGATGGTAGTAAGATTCCTATAACTCATACAGGAACAATTTTAATTACTGAACACTTGGTTTTATATGATGTTTTGCTTGTTCCTGATTTTCATTTTAACCTGATAAGTGTTAGTCGATTGGTGCAAAGTTTAACGTGTGCAGCTCATTTCTTTCCTCATGGTTGTTTTATTCAGGAACTTACTCGGGGATTGATGATTGGGAAGGGTAGCTTGCATCACAACTTGTTCATCTTAGACATTGCATCATCGTCCATTGCATTACCTCCATCTTCATATTTGCTTGGTTCTTTATGTGGTTCTGTCTCGGTTGAAGAAAATATATGGCATCGACGCTTAGGACATCCATCTTCATTGGTTTTACAAAAGCTAGATCCTCTTTTACCGTCTTTCAAGTCTGATGCTTCTCCAAAGTCACATTGTTCAGTCTGTCCATTAGCCAAACAAAGACGTCTCGCTTTTACTTCTCAGAATAACCTGTCTTTAAAACCTTTTGACCTTGTACATTTAGACATATGGGGTCCTTTTCATCTTGAGTCTGTTGAAGGTTTTAGATATTTCCTCACTATTGTCGATGATTGTACAAGAGTAACATGGGTTTATATGATGAAATATAAAAGTGATGTTTCAAAAAAATTTCCAATGTTTCTTAATCTTGTGTCTACTCAATTTCATGCTACTGTCAAAGCTCTAAGATCTGATAATGCACCTGAATTAGCATTTACTGAACTTGTTACACGAACTGGAATGATTCATTACTTTTCATGTGCATATACTCCACAACAAAATTCTGTTGTTGAGAGAAAACATCAACATCTACTCAATGTAGCTCGATCATTACTTTTTCAGTCGAATATACCATTAGCATATTGGAGTGATTGTGTTCTTACTGCTGCATTTTTAATCAACAGAATGCCTTCTCCTTTGCTTAAGAATCTTTCTCCGTATGAATGCTTAACTGGTAAATCTCCTGTCTATGATCAACTTAAGGTGTTTGGATATTTATGCTATGCATCTACTTTGTTAAAAGATAGAAACAAGTTTTCACCAAGAGCTACTCCTTGTGTTTTCCTCGGTTATCCAACAGGTTTTAAAGGGTATAAACTTTTGGATTTGGAGTCACGGTCTGTTTTTATTTCTCGAAATGTTGTTTTTCAAGAAACTGATTTTCTTTTTAAAGCAGGTGAGTTGTTAAAAGAGACTGTTGATATATTTCCAAATACAATCTTACCTTTACCATTTCCATTGCATTTTGTTGATTCCATGCCTTTACCGTCTATACATTCTGAGTGTTCTGTACATCCTTCACCTGCAGTTTTGAATCAAACTCCGTCTGTGACTGAAATTTCTGAAACTTCTGATACTTCTGGTAATGTAGATATTGTTGCTAGACCTAAACGACATACTAGAGCTCCACATTATTTGTCTGAGTATCATTGTAACCTTGTTCCTTCTATAACATCATCCAAACACATTATCTCTCTTTCTGAAACACCAGTACCCATCTTTCCCACTCCTTATCCCATTTCCTCAGTTCTTTCTTATGATAGCTTGTCTCCTTCTTTTCAGCAATATACTCTTGCTTATACTCTTGAAAGAGAACCTAAAAATTTTAAACAAGCTATCACTTCTGATGTATGGAATAAGTCGGTGAATGTGGAACTGGACGCTCTTGAACAGAACAGAACATGGGATATTGTGACTTTGCCATCTGGTAAGAATGTTGTTGGGTGTAAATGGATCTTTACTATCAAGTATCATGCTGATGGTACTGTGGAGCGTTACAAGTCTCGTTTGGTAGCACAGGGTTTCACTCAACGCGAGGGAGTTGATTATTTGGAAACTTTTTCACCTGTTGCTAAACTAACGAGTGTGAAGCTTTTGTTGAGTCTTGCAGCTATTAAGGGATGGAAATTGAGTCAAATGGATGTTTCTAATGCGTTTTTGCATGGTGATCTTGATGAGGAAATACATATGAGTCTTCCTCAAGGCTATACGCCTGCTTCTGGAGTTATTCTTCCACCCAATCATGTTTGTCGACTTCGTAAGTCTTTATATGGACTTAAACAAGCAAGTCGTTAATGGTACAAGAGATTTTCATCAGTGTTATTGGGAGCTAATTTCATTCAATCTCCGGCTGATAACACTCTCTTTGTCAAAGTCTCTGGATCTTCTTTTGTAGCTGCTTTGGTCTATGTGGATGATATAATGATAGCAAGCAACGATGATGATGCAGTTCTTCAACTCAAGACTTTACTTCGTTCTGAGTTTAAGATCAAAGACTTAGGTCCTGCCCGTTTCTTTCTTGGCTTGGAGATCGCAAGATCATCTCGTGGCATATCTGTAAGCCAACGTAAGTACACTTTGAATCTTCTTGAGGATTATGGCTTACTTGGATGCAAAGCTAGCTCTATTCCAATGGATCCAAATTTACACCTTACTAAGGATCTTGGAGAGTTGTTGCCATCTGCTAAACAGTACAGAGAGCTTGTTGGTCGTCTCTTGTATCTCTGCATTACAAGACCTGATATCACTTTCGCCGTTCATCAGCTTAGTCAGTTTCTTTCTGCTCCTACTGATATTCATTATCAAGCTGCTTTGAAGGTGCTCCGGTATCTTAAGAATGATCCAGGCCAGGGACTAATGTATTCTTCTGATAGTGAGTTGTGTCTAAGTGCTTTTGCTGATGCGGATTGGGCCACTTGCAAGGATACTCGTCGCTCTGTTACGGGTTTCTGTGTCTACCTTGGATCATCTTTGCTTTCTTGGAAGTCTAAGAAGCAAGCAGTGGTTAGCAGAAGTAGCACTGAGGCCGAATACAGGAGCTTAGCATTGGTAACTTGTGAACTGATATGGCTACAGCAGTTACTCAAGGATCTTGGTATCTCAATGACTTGCATTCCGAAGCTCTTCTGTGATAATAAGTCTGCTCTGCATATTGCTAACAATCCTGTGTTTCATGAAAGAACGAAACACATAGAGATTGATTGCCATACAGTTCGAGATCAGATTAAAGCTGGACGTTTGCTTACACTTCATGTGTCCTCTGGTAATCAACTTGCAGATATCCTTACTAAGCCTTTACATCCTGGTCCATTTCTCTCTATGTTGCACCGTTTGTCACTATCAAGTCTCTATCTTCCTGCACCGAAGCTATAGACTTGAGGGGGGTATATTAGGATGGTTCAATTAGTTTAGTATAACCGACCGGTTTAGGTTTATTTTATTCTTGGTTTAAGTTTCCGTTAGCTTAACCAACTATATATAGAAACATTTGTACATTTTGTAAAGTTGAGCTGAATAACAAACTTTACGGTTATTCTTTCATCTTCTCTCTTCTTCTTCGTTGTTCATCTCCTCCATTAACGAAGCTTCGAGTTCTTTGATCACAAGCTGAGAATCAACTTTGATAACTGATCTATCAAATATTCTCCCTAGTCATGTCTATGAATTCTTCAAAGTGGGTGAAGCTTATTTCCTTGTGCCCTCAAATGGAAGTAAAGTTTGAAGAAGGGAAAATTCAGGTTGTTGAATCACCCCTGTGGAGGAGTAATAACAAGTGGGAGTGTTTCCCACTAGCCTGGGAGACATACAGCTTAACAGGAGGAGACACTACCCATTTTCGCTGCAGAAACTGCAATGGCGAGACCCATAGAGAATATAACAAGGCTCCAGTTGAGATCAAACATGTTCTTCATCAAAAACATTCTCTTCAGCTTGTCTTGTTGCATTTATTGAGCGAAAGGAGGAGATGTAGCTGCTGTGATGAATATCTCAAAAAGGTATTCTATTATTGCTCAATCTGCGATTTTGCTATGAATCTTGCTTGTGCGGAGAAACCACCAGTCTTATTATCGATATACCGTCCGAGGTGGCATGACCATACACTTGCTCTGTTCCCAAGAAAGAATTCCTTAACATGCAATGTATGCGGCTTAATACAATCAAGCGGTCTTTACTATATGTGTCCCCCTTGTGACTTTGTGATGGACCAAAGTTGTCTCAGCTTACCATGTGTCATCAGAATATCTCGCCATCCTCATCGTCTCTCTTTTAGCCCTTATTTTCGACAAGGAGACTGGTCTTGTGGTGTTTGTCGCACAAAGATCAACAATAAGTATGGAGGCTATTCTTGCATCAAGGACGGTTGTTCTTATGCAGCTCATTCGAAATGCGCCACACAAAGCAATGTTTGGGATGGTGAAGAGCTTGAGGGACTTCCAGAAGATGGAGACGAAGAAGAGATTGAGCCTTTTGTGAGGATAAAGGATGGAGTTATACATCATTTCCTTCATCAGCATCATCATTTGAGACTTGAGGGGAATACCGACAGAGACTACGACGAGAATATGCAGTGCCAAGCATGCATCACCCCTATTTATTTCGGCAACTTCTACTCATGTTTGCATTGTGATTTCATTCTCCACGAAAAGTGTGCGAATCTTTCTCGCAAAATATATCACCCGATACATCCACATCAACTCACTATGGTAGGTGGATATGAAGGTATTTTAGACTTCGAAAAGGATATATGTTCAGCTTGTATTTGGCTTTGCAAAGCGGGTTTCTTCTATGAGTGTGGTAAAGAAGGATGTGATTTTAAGTTGCACCCAGTGTGCCACAACTTCGGAGCCACTAGTCCACGAAAGTCATATGCATCCTTTATTCCTAACATCTAAACCAGGAGACAAGAAAAGATCTTGTTTGGTTTGCGACGGGCTGTTTGGTTTTTGTGATAAAGAAAACTTCAATTGCATTGAGTGTGATTTTGCTTTGTGTTTCACATGTGCTACTTTACCTCAGAAGGTGAGGTATAAGCATGATAAGCATGCACTCACTCTGTCATATGGGAAGAATACAAGTAACAAGACCTTTTGGTGTGAAGTTTGTGAGAGAGAAATAAAAATGGAAAGACGGTTTTACACGTGTGATGAGTATTGTTGTGTCACCATACATATTGAATGTACTAGGTGATTATCCCGTGCTCATGCACGGGTATAAATATTTTTAAAGTAAATATACGATAATAATTAATTACTATTTAGTTTTAATTTTAAATTAATTTATAATTTGTATGCATCATTTATATTAATAATATTATTTTAATTTAGTTATACTATAATTTTATATTGTTATATCTAGTCGATTTTGTTGTTTTTACGGTTGATTTATTTATCATTTGGATAAACTGAATTTCTTTGAATCTAACTGTAATATCTAATTTTTAATTAATTGCTTATTTGCATATAGTGAGTGTTGTCTTAGATATGTAAATATATTTTCGGAAAATTATGTATAACTTAAGATATATTGTACTTAGAATAAATTAAAAATTAACTAAAGTGTCTAATTCCAAAATATGTAAATTAATATAACGATAATTTTCTAAAGTCTCATGCATATATATAAATTTTATAAAATAACTAAAATTGTAAGAGTTGATTAATTTTTATTTTCATTTGTTAATATATTTTGAGTTATCCGATGATCAATAGAAGGTTACATGCATAAGTAGTTGATACATTTTTGGAAGCTCATGAACACATATCAATATTTACAATAATTAAAATATTTATAAATTCTAAATAACTTTATACTTTATATTTAATGAATATAAACTAAAATTTATTTTAAATAATCTTAAAATTGGGAATTCAGATCTGCTTTGGTATTTTTATTATGGTTATATTTAGTTTCACAAACATAAAAAGATAAAATTTAATACTAAGAATTTTTTTTTTAATAATGATAAAATATCATATATCTAGCTCATTAAATTAATTGTTAATTATTTGATCAAGCGATGTTTATTGTTAAATTTATTTTAAGTTTTTAATATCTCTTAAAAATAAGCACCGCAAAAAATTGTGATTATATTTGAAAATAATATTATATACGTAAAATATAATTTATAGATAATTTTCTGTAATTGAAAGATATTATAGTCAACTAAATAAATAAAAAAATCAATAATACTAATTATAAACTATTTTTATTACTCTAAAAGTATATTTTATGGTATTTAAAATATTTTAAATGTATTATTACTATTTTGTGAACTTTCTTTTTTTATGAAATCTTATTATATATACATACATTTTTGGTTTTCAATTTTCTTGTGACTTTATAAAAAGTTTCCTTTTTATTACATATATTTTTGCAAATTTTTAAAAAGGAAACTAAATAAAAGAATGAATATACTATTTTTAATAGTTTTTAATTCATTAAGGGTATCAGTGTAATCAACCATCGTGGGAGTGAACGTGAGAGCGACACATAGGAAACTGACTTCTCAAATAATATTATAGAGATGCTTGGGTTTAATTTTTTCGACTTATACATGAAGGCGGGCTCGTCCGGGATCTACCAAGGTAAGAAGCTAGCTGTTCTGCCTAATAATCGTCATATGTCTCGACCTATTTGCTCTAGTTGTAAGCACCGTTGTCCACGTAAAATAGTTTTCCAGTGGTGTGGATTAGTATTTTGTTCCAGAGGTTGTGTATTTCGAGCATGTTGCTAGCTTGATGATAAGTAATATAAGTGAATTTGGATTGTTTTGTGCTGATAAGTTAAACGTTGATTATATATTCATTGTTGTTATGTGATATTTCCACATGCAGAGGTTCTGAGTTAAAGAAGTACTTTTGCTTTGTATCAGTAGTGATTCTTGAAAGAGCTCTTTTAAATTATTGATCTCAAAATCTCAAACCCTCTCCTCTGAATCCATTTTATTGGATCTGGAACCCTTTCCATGTATGCTTCTCAAATGTTCCAAAATCTTCACAATTCACTACAAATAACTCAATACGTTTACTCTGGTTGAAAGAAGCAGGCTTAATCCTTACAATAATCTAATTTGATATATGCTTTGAAATCACATCCATTTGATCTCCGTAGGTTTACTTGATGACACAACTCTCTGTGTCTGAAACAGGACTAGCGCAGTTGTGTGTTTGTTGTAAACATCCCAAACCTTATTGTTAATTTTCTGTCCAATGGGAATCCGATTGTTAAGACGTTGGTAAACTGTGAAGTGTGTACATATACCGATAGAGCTATCGACATATGGTTTAATACCTTTAGTTCCAGCCAATTTTTTTTGGGATTAACCATTTACTTATTTTATGATCCATTTCATTTTCGTTATTTTAAACAATTACATACTTCATATCATATCAAATCTGTGGAGGTGAATGAACATGTCACTCATGAACAAGAAGCTTCCACAGCTAAGCTCTTAACGACACCATGACAAGGCTCTCCAAAGACTCTGGTCGAGACTTCAACTTTGCAACTCCTTGATCCAACACATGCCTGCCACACATAACAAAACTCCAAATATAAACAGGAAGTTGTCAAAGTCGTGGACAAATAAGAAAAAAGTGAAACCAGACCTTTTGAACGACTGAGAGAGATCGAGAGCTACTGCAACGGCTGTGGCTGAAACTACCACAAGTACCTGTGGGTGTACCGAAGCTTGCAAAACTTATAGATGATATCACCTGAGTGGAGACAGGACATTTTAAGGAAAGAACCGGTCTGGTTCTGTTTGAGATCTTGGAGTCTGAAGTCCACGTGTCCACAGGAGCTGGATGAGACTGTGACACCTTCAAACACAAGTTGCTTCCTGTTTGTTTTGTGGCGAATGATATCTTTGTCGGATCTCCTCCCATTTCTTCCAACAGAACAAGAGTGTTCCCGCTTGGTTTTATCCACGACCGAGGCACGTGGTACCTGTACAACCAACAATGGTTATCATTACCTCAGGTTTCAAGAATCAGCTGAGAGATGTGATATGGTTAGTGCTTACAAAGTCTGTGAAGGTTTTCCACAGTTCTTGAGGCATTTGTTATTGCGGTAAGATCCTCTATAGTTACATGAATCTACACAACCATCGTTTCTTGCAATACTGGTTGGCCAATACCGACCTATGCTCTGTCCGTTCACCCATGCAATGCCTTTTCCTGTACCTGTGAAGTCTATCGCTACTGGTTCACTCCCAGAAGGAGCATCAAATGTTGTCTGAGAATCGTAATGAAGCAATGGTTAGTAGTGTGACAAAAAAAAAAAGACAATAGTTTCTTAAAATGTTTTTGTTGTTGTATAATTATCATCATCACCTTGTACCAAATCAGTGGCTGGTTAGTGGGCAAAGGAGACTTTGAAACCCATTCAGAAGAATCTCCACTTCCCAAACCTGTGTCTTCCCCTTTGAGTCCAACCTATAAATCAACAACCGTTAAAACATGAAAAGCCTGGAGGTATGACAAGAGAGTCTTGTGGTTGATCAATGCAACATACCTGATAAGTCCATTTCTGTGATGACAAATCAATTGAGCTACCACTTTTTGCGCTCTTAAGTGTCACAGGACCGGTGATTCCTGCTCCAGTTAAGTCAAAGAAAGCTCCATAGTTCTGAGAAATAAGTTAGCTAATACTGTTGAATCAATCATGTCTATATAAACATTTTGTATAGTAATGTTTGGTGATTAGAACTTACCGCAAGCCCTACGGTCACACTAAGAAGATCAATTGTGTTCTTCCCAGTTACAAGATTAATTGGGATGTCCAAAGAAATCTTCTGTCTGTCATTTCCACTTCCTACAACCAATAATCAATGGTACTCAGTTCTCAAAATCTACTTCAACTTCTTGTGAAAGCTCAGAGTAACATATATAAATACTGTACCAGCAAGTTTTCCATTTATAAAAGCATAGACCACTTGGCCTTTGGATTGGATGTGAAGGACGGATTTAGATCCTTCATCAAGAAAACTCTCATCTCCTTTAATATCCATACTGTTTTAGATTGAAACACATTGTAAAACCTCTGTTCATCATGAATCTTTTGTAAGAAGAGAAGAGATGGATCAGGCCTACTCCATACCTCAGTGAGTACCACAAGTAGTCGCTTTTATCAGCTGTTGTGTTTATCTGCTCCAACAATCCAGGTTTCACGAATGCATCAGCCTTGGATATTCCAATAGGTTCTCTAATGTAACTCCATTGTGAGCCTAGTTCCGTAGATGAACCACCATCTGGCTTTACTGATTGACTAGCAAATGTGGTAGACTCGGTTGCAGAATTTATCTACATTTCAAGATTGGTATGAGTTGTTGCCATGTGGAATATTTTTATAAGAACATGCTAATGAAGCAGACCTTTGCTGTGTTGAATGCTACATTTTTGCAATCCGGCAAGATGCTTACAGACCAAGCAGGCAAGTGATATGACTTTCCATTGAAAGTGACTGTTGCATCAGATTGTGTACCAATGTTTGCAAGAAAAGCAGCGCATGATCCAGTCGATGTTTTGTACACAGCTGCCTGTGAAGACAAATCATATATGTAAAATGTTAGAGATCAAAGCATGTTTCAAGAAGTGTAGTGACATGAAATTTATTGTTGTTACCTCCAAATTAGAACCTAGAGAAGTTATTTTTGGATCTGTAGCAATCAAAGCGTCTTCACAAAGCTTGATAGCCTTGTGTAAATCTTTTAAATGCCCCCATTTTGGTTGTCTAAGAAGTCCTGCAACAAAGAAAAAAAACAATATCTCTTCAGTAATTCACAGACTACTACAAACCAAAGAGAAAAACAGAAAGATATATCTAGTGGTAGAATCCTTACCATACTCATCAATGGGAGCATCATAGTCATAACTAGTAGAGATTAAGGGTCCTCCACTTGTCCTTTCAAAGTTGGTTCCACCATGATACTGAACAAGAAAATACCAAGATTAAAACATAATTAACAAAATCTTCAGTATTGTCTTGTAGGTTAACTCAAGCAGAGAAATCAATAGCACAAAGAGAACAATTGGTTTATTGTGTTGTAATTACCATGTAATAGTTCTGGAAAGTTCCACCTCGTTGGAAAAACCGTGTGACCGCAAATGCAAGATCTTCAACTGGTCTGTAAGGGGTAGGATCTCCAAAACCAAGGAACCTGGTCGTCCAGGATATACAAGAAAGTGGGTTAAATGCCAACCTTGGAGACGAACAGATTACTTAGTAAGGTAAAGTAAAGGCACCAAGAGACTCACCATCCACTCCAATTCTCGGTCCACATCTTGGGTTTGTTGTTTGAGTTAGGAGTAAACTGGTCGCAGTAGAAACCGTTGCATGTGTTGATCTACCAATAAGACAAACAGATAATCAAGAATGTCTCAATCAAACACTTTATTATTTCAAGACTCTTATAAAGAGATGGAAATGTTTAGGAAACTCACAATGGGATCAGGAGCATCTCCTTGTTGGCACATGTTCCAGGGTACTCCAGTATCTAGTGAAAGAGCCATAGAAGCAGACCACTTCATATAACTTTTACCAGCAGCTCCATAAGATGAATCAATATTCCCGTATTCATTCTCAATCTGACATCCAAAATCATGAAAACGAAAAACAATTAGAAAATCCTGAGAACTATTATACAATTAGTAATGAGAACATTTCTACAGAGGACAAACCTGGGAGAGAATGATTGGACCTCCTTGTGATGCATATAACTTTTCTTGCTTCATCAGATCAACAATCTTGGCTGTGAACCGCTGCATTTCCGCCTGCAAACACACAAATACAAAACCATTATACATTTGCTCATAAAAAAAACTAATACACTCAATGAATCACCTAACCATACCTTAAATGGTTCGTTGTCAGTTCGAAACTTAATTCCAGGAATGAAATGCAACCACACTGGGAATCCTCTGTTCCACAAAAATCCACCATTTTTATTTTTATATAAATAAACAGTCAAATATTTTCAATAAAACCCCTAAAATTAATAAAAGAACAAAATAGTAACCAGATTTTATTACCCGTAATTCCATTCAGCGCAAGCGTACGGACCAATTCGTAGATGAACATAGAGACCAGCTTTAGCAGCAAGCTTCACAAATTTTACTAAATCGTATCTTCCTTCAAAATTATACTGCAAAAATAATTAAAAACGAATAATCAGAGAAAATACAATATTGACAAAAAAAAAAATCAAAAAGGCACAAAACCCAAAAACAGAACCGACCTTGTTCTTCTCAGGCTCGTGACCATTCCAGAACACGTAAGTCTCTATAACGTCCAAGCCACCGTCCTTCGATTTCTGTATAAGGTCTGGCCACATCTACACCAAAAAATAAAAAAATTATAAATCTAAAAGTCACGTACACATATATACACATAGCCGTATATGTATAGATGCCTAAAACTGAAGTTACCTCAGGAGTACTACGAGGATAGTGAATTGAGCCAGAGATCAGAATCTTCCTCTTCCCGTCGATTACAAGAGCACGGTGGTCGTACGTCACAGTCGCCGCCGTCGCCGCCGCAACCATCACAAGAACAACAAGAGAAACAATCTCTATCTTCTTTCCTCTTACCATTTTCGTTACAAATACCATCTTCCAGTTTTCAAGATCGATGTGATTTCTTGATTTGCTGAGTTTGGAATCTATATAAAATGCCTTGAAGATAGAGATAAGGATCTTTTTTTTTTTGCTTCAGTTGTTGCTTAGCCGCTTTGTGTTACTGCATTTTCTTCTTCTTCCTTCCGATGACACTCAACTACACAGATTTATATAAATATTCAAAAAGTGTTAGCAGATAGACATTATATTGCTTTCTTGATATTTTTTCTGGTTATTACCGCAATGTTTGCTTACTCTAAGGATGAAAAATGGCGTTACGCAGGTGAATGGTAAGCTATGCGTATACGTTTTGCATCGTCGTCGTCGTTTGGATTTTCTTTAAGAATAATGGCGGGGGAGGGGGGGGGGAGGTTTAATAGAAAAAGGATTAGTGTGTAGTTATTAAAGTTTAATTAAGGTTTGTAGAGTGACGGAGACGCGCGTTTAGTAGCCTAGGCACGAAGCAAGTTATATAAAGGCGTTGTTGGGAGAGAAAGTGAGAGAGGAGAGTGGGGTAGTGATCAAGTGCTTCTCAGAGTTGTCTGTTAGAGTGGACCCATGATTTATTAGTTTGACAGAAGGCAGACACGTGGTGGTTAATCGTCGAGAAAGTCACCGGAAAATGATGGGACAAAGAAAAATGCTTAGACTTATGTAGGTTTGAGTTTTCACTATGCTTACTATTCAGAGTAATTTAAGTCTTAAAGGTTTTTATTTTATTTTTGTCAATAAATTTTGCTGGTTATTATTTTATATTTAGATATATAAACTTTTTGGAGGTCTAAATAAACTTTTTGGAGGAATTTCCAAATGATTTTCAAAACTAATGACAAGATCATAAGAGTATAAACTATTATACAGTTAAACAAGGATTTACAATATATAAATACATATAATGTAAAAATTGAAATAAAAGGTCGTGCAGTATGTTGATTTAAATATGAGTGGTGATGTCTGCACTAGATTATATGTTACGATTATATCATTTTATTTTTTCAAATAAAAATATATATGTATGATAATTTATTTTATTTTATGAATAGTTGCAAAATCTACCATCATTTGTTTCTAATAGAGGAATAAGTAAAATATTTCATGACATGCAAATAGTAATAATTTTACACAAACGAAAGATAAGTAACATCCTGACTATGATACCATGTCACAGTCCATGCGTTTACACCTCAAATCATTTAGGTGTGCGAGTTGATCAACTCATGTTCTTATGTTTTTTAGTTCTTTTATGTAAATTTTTTAATACGTGTCATACAAAACAAAGACACAATCAATACACCACAAGATATTGATAAGGAAGCCAATCCCAGTATCCTCCCTTATAATTCATATTCTAATTAACATAAAATGATATAAAATATAGTCTTATTACGTTTATCATCTATGTGTGTGTAGCGTTACCGGTGACGATATCACCTCACCACCAGATAATGTTGGTTCCAACGACTTAAAAGAGACTGGTGCACTATGGCTCAGACCACTATGTTCACCACACCAACTGAAATCTGTTTCCCTTTATAAAGAAAAATAATAATCGTAAATCGACTTTCAAGTTTCAACACGTCAATAAATGGGATATCTGTCGGTGGTGCGTCTACTAATATTAATATTTGTCGTCTTTTATTCCTTTTTGTTAATAATGTGAATGCTGGTGTCTAACTATTAGGTTGGATTCGATAGATGTTTATATTTGCCTATTAATATGAGTCACGAAAACAAAGTATGAAAGTCAAAAACAGAATGCATTTAGTAGATAAAAGAGAAAAAAGGAGACCACAAACAAAATCCAGTGTCTTCTTATGCAAAATGAATGATTTAGTTTCTATTAATAACATCTGTTATTTTTATTTGAATTAGTTGGTGACACAATAATATAGACAATGATGTAGATTTATGATCATAGAGAACTCAATTATTTATATTACTAGTACATGAGCCAAGGAAAGCATAGTGGTTAGATAAGGAATAAAATAGGATTGTCATATTTTGTTGGTCATCAGTTAGGATTTCTGGTCATCAACCAAGCGAATTAGGTTTCATTAACCCAAAATAAAAAAAAATTTATAAGAGAATATACAATAAGATAAAAGAAGGTGTTATAAATGGTGAGCGTTGGGGGTGATTGTCGTTGTCTAAACAGAACAATAACATGTGACGCGCGTTTCCATGAATCGTCCGTGTTTGGTACTATTAGCATAGCGACCTCATTCCATCATTTACTCACAAGTCGTCACCATATTTTCTTCATTAGTTTTCCCTTAGTTTTACATTCTTTTTCTTTTTAGTTTTACACTTTTACTATTACTACTGAAGAAAAGTGTTTCATTTAATTTTCATTTTATGTTAACATTTCATTTATCTATTTTTGTTTAACATCCATGTCATTCGTATGCAATTATTCACCTAATCCAGGATGGGTGTTGTTATCATATAAGTTCTGTGAGTGTCATTTTAATAACATACTAATTTATTTTTGATTTTTCCTTCTATTATTTATTGCGGTTAGGAATAAATACTGACGAATTTGATGCTTTTTCTATATATTTTTAGCTTCTTTTTAAAAAAGCTTCTCTGGATCAATTGTAATTAGCCGCAAAAATAAAGAGTTTTGGGATTTATACCCATTTATAATAGAGCCATCTCATGTCATGTAACAAGAAAACACCCAACTGTTTATTTTTCTACTTGAGAACTTGATTTTCATCCACACTATTTCTATTGGAAATGTTAGATGCTGGTAAATGATATCGTTACAAAAAGATGGAAAATAAATTTTGAGTTATAAGCTATAGAAGAAGATCAACTCTCCTTAACCATTTTAAAAGTTTGTACATAAACAGAACTGCTTCAATTTAGCAAGACCAAATTTCATTTTGCCTTTTTATATTTATGACAAGACCGATAAACCAAAGTTTATAGAAGTCCAAACTACTTTTCAGTTTCCCAAAACTCTTCATTCGAAGAGGAAGAAGAACCATTATCTAATTGACAGAGCTCTTCATCTTCAGACTCGGCTTCAGTTTCTGAACAGCTCATATAAAGCTTACTCCTATGGTGATCACATGATTCAGATGGAGAATCATCCAATATCTGAAGAGGATTTCTGTTACTCGGGTCATCGTAAAGAGCAACATGCCTGTAGTATAGTTCAAGCTCCTTCTCTGCAATTGCTATGAAGTGTCTCACTGACTCAAGAGACTGTTCGTACTTTGATTTTTCATATGCCTACAAAGAAAACAAAACCAAAATCAGATGCCAAAACTAGTTAACTAATAAGAGTTTGAGAACGTTACCCTCTTCTTTGACAATGTATCGATAGGAGACATAACTTTTGGCTGAACATAACCTTTCCCTCTATAAAATACGATTGTATCATCACCAATTATGTTAACAGGCACACCACCACTCAGTTTAGCAAGCTCCTCTGCGTACTGTTGCAATTGTCCTGGCTTAACATTATTGCAGATAACCTTAACGGTTTCATGCTTCTTCCAATGCATATGCATGTTTAGAATCACACCACCAAACACTCCTCTTCTCCCAATGGGAACATAGTTAGATCTTTTCTGACCCATCTTCTTCAGGTAAAAACGTTCTTCTCCTGTGATCTCGTGTGGTTGAACCTCAGGTCCCTGCACTTTAGCAACTTCGTAACGTTTCAGTTTCTCAATCAACGATGCTTCTTTGATCTTGGCTCTTTCAAGCTTGTTCTTGATTCTTTCCGCTGGATTAGCAAACTTCTTCTTCCCCTTGACGGTAAGTCGTCGTGGGTCTTTCCTGTTAGCTGCGTTTCTTTCCTCTCTTTCTTTCTTTCTTTTTAGCTTCAGTCTCTTTTTAGTCAACCACTTCCATTTCTTGGGAGGATCAAGCTCCCTAGTTTCGAACTTGGGTTTCCCTTCTGATATCACTAGGTTCACCGTCCCGTGACTGAAGTTTCTTCTACATGTCGGCCTTGAAAACCTTGAGATGGTCGGTGGTAGCAAGAATGTGGATGTTGAATAAGCAAGTTCTTGGCTTTGCTGGAGAGACCTGGTAAGGAAAATTTGCGTTTAGTTGCGGGTTTAGGATAAAACATTCTAAGTAACCATGCGTTTTGTATGGTCTAAGATATATACGAACCTGGAGGAAATGAGAAGTGGGTATGAGGATCTAATAAGAGCTGAAGAAGCTCTTTGAAGGCTACGAACAAAAGCAATTGCCATCAAGAAGAGTGTGACAACCTTTTATTTTATTTAAGTGCAAATCGTCTCAAGAATTGAATATATCATATAGCCAACCCTGCTAGAAAGAAATTCCACCATTCAGTTCAAAACAAAAGTATCCAAAGTCATATGCAGAAGAAACTACTTAGTTTTAATAGTCAAAAATCGAAAATACGTATGTAATATTAGAACTAAACTGCATTGGCCAGACACGACACAACACAACAAAAGATACTGTCTACAAAGAACAGTGGTAGTATCACTGTTGTTCTATTGTTGGTTGGTAGTAGAAACAAACGAAATTTGAGGAGAGACACTCAGTGAGATATTGATAACCACTAGCAACTCCTTGTTCTAACATATGATACTAAACTGATTTGGCCAGGCACAACAGAAGGTACTTCCTACAGAGAACAGTGGCTAGAGCTTAAACCAGATTCTCAAACACATTCAATGAAACACACAAATGAGGTAATTGCCATCTTGAATGGGATAAATTTAAGGTAAGGCGAATAGAACACACAAAGTTAAAAAGAAGAATTTCGTCGAACAAGTGGTGTGCAGAAACCTTTTTGAAACTGGTCTCTCCGCAAGAAGAACACATCACGAAGACATTCAAATAGAATCGTAATCCAAATTGACGAGAAAGCGACGACTTTGACACACAAGCAAGGTGATGATGACACGGTGAAAGCGGCGGCGCGGTAACGAGAGACTGATGACCGTGTCTACGTCGGTGTTAAAGAGAAGACGATTTGGTGATCCGTTAAATTAAGCATCTAAAATACTTTAACGCTCTTACATATGATTATCATGATATAATTTTTTCAGTAATGACACATGTATATTATAATTTGCAAAGTATTTTTTTATATCTGAGTTTTAACCAAAGTTAGATTGGTTAAAATAGCTATTAAAGTTAATAAATAATTAGATTATTGATTATAAATTAATATAATAAAATCGTCAAAAAGTAAAAACAAAATTAAATTTATTACGTTAGATAACTGATTGGTAATTAACATATAACCAATATACAAAAAAAAATTATATCATGTATTGTTTGAAAGTGATTATCTTTATGTATCAGAGCATTTCTAACCCCAAAACCTTATTTTAAGGGAATCAAAATTTCAAATATTAGGTTGGTCGATCCAACCATAAATCCTCAAAAATATTTTTAAATATTTTATCTATTTGCATTGTAATCCTTAACATTGTACTAATAATGATAAAACTTCACAAATACATATAAACATACATTTAATATATTATAAAACATATGATATTATAATACTATATAATAAATAATAATATAAATTACATATATAATAAACTAATACACTTACAGATAAATTTTAGAAAGTTACGTATAAAATATCAAAATTTGATATCACTCGTAAAATATGTAATTTATTTTAATTTGTGGTAGGTTTGTTTAATATATTTTTATTTTGTGTTATATTTACTGTATATTGCTACTGTGTGAATTTAATTTTAATGTTATGTAATATTTATCTTATTTTATTTTATTTTGGTGTATTTAAGTTATTCTAAATAAAGTTAGTAGATATATTTGTGAAAAAATATAATTGGAAGGACTAAAAAGAAATGAATAGTAGTTTTGAGGATTTGAGGTTGGATTGGAGTGACACAAAACCTCAAAATTTGAGGATCTGAGGTTGGGTTGGAGATGCTCTCTATAATGTACGCGATACAAAGTTTATATTCAAGAGGTTGTTAATATATTCAAGTATCGAGATCCAAGAATATATGAGCATTTGGTTTGGTATATTCTTTCACCCTCTCTCAGTTTTATCCTTTGACCTTCTAACGGATAGACTGACTTTAAACTCATTAAAAAGAGATGGTGGAAGGTTTTTTGTAAAGATATCGGCGAACTGAGAGGAGGATGGAACATGAAGAACTCGGACTTGATCCATTGCAACCTTCTCACACACAAAGTGGATATCAATTTTGATATGTTTGGTTTGCTGGTGTTTAAACCAGATTGTTGGAGAGGTAAACTGCACTTATGTTGTTACAATACACCAATGTGGCCGTGCAGATTAGACACTTGAGCTCGAGAAGAAGGTTCCTAATCCAGCAAGTTTCAGCTACAACATTAGCAACTCCTTTGTATTCAGCTTCGGGGCTTGAGCGTGAAACAGTTTTTATCGTTTTGACAACCAAGATATGAGGTTGTTCCCAAAGAAAAAGCAGTAGCCAGATGTTGAGCGACGAGTGTCTGGAAAATCTGTCCAGTCTGCGTTAGTATAGGCGGTGAGAGTGGTTGAGCTTGATTTGTAGAGCTGTAATCCGTCTGTAATTTTTCCTTGGATGTAGCGCAAGATGAGTTTTAAGGCATTGAGGTGAGAGACTCGCGGATCATGCATGAACATGCATAGTTGTTGGACTGCGTAATTGATGTCAGGGCGTGCTAGAGTTAGGTATTGTAATGCGCTGGCAAGACTTCTGTAAAGAGTTGGATCATCTATCTTGTCGTCACTCTTTTAGACAGTTTTGACTTTAGATCGACTGGAGTAGTTACAACAGTCCTGCATTGAGGCTCGAAGTAAAATGTCTTTGGTGTATGCAGTCTGTGACAGCAACATACCTTCGTCGTTGTAATCAATCTTGATGCCGGGAAAGTATTTGAGTTTCCCATCATCTGACATCTCAAATTCTTTCTGAAGCATTGCAGTGATGAGTTGACGAAGAGCTGGAGTAGAAGCCATAAGCAGTATGTCCTCAACATAGAGTAAGAGGTAGGCTTGATCTTTTCCTTTGATGTAGACAAACAGAGAGTTGTCGTTGTTACTCTTGATAAAACCAAACAGTTTCACAAATGAAGGGAACGAGCATTCCATGCCCTTGGAGTCTGCTTTAGGCTTTCTCCAATTCCTCTTCATGTTGCGAGGGCCTTGCACGAAACCATACCGCCCCCCGCCCCAATCAAGTACCAGTTGCTTCGCAGCGCGGGTAGCGTACTTAGGTTAGTGGGAAGAACCCCTCAGTTCTCCATACATGGTTGGCTTTGATTTGTCTACCATACCCGGTGGCTGATGCATATATACGGTCTTATCTAGCTTCCCATGCAAGAATGTATTTTTGACGTCGAGGTGATGAACCTCCCTGTCTCGTTGGAGTGCTAGGTGGAGAATTGACCGAATGATTACAAGCTTAACAACATGGATGAATGTTTCATCATAGTCCAGTCCATGCTCCTGCGATTTGCGTTGGCCATCAAGCGTGACTTATGTTCTTGAACAGTGCCATTTGCATCAAGTTTATGCTTATAAAGCAACATGGAATGCACAATGTTAGCATTAAGGTAATGAATTACCAAGCTAAAAGTTTTATTCTTAACCAAAGCACTGTACTCATCAGTCATAAAAGGGTTCCAGTTTGTATCAGCTAAAGCCTTTAGATGACTGTTTGGAAGTGGAGAAACTGTGGAAGTATGGAGGTTGATAATCAATTTCTGCTTGTGAGTGCCATTTCTGCTCCTTGTAGTCATTGGATGACGGTTATGAGGAGCTGTATTTGGTGGAGCAATGACTGCATGAGAAGAGAGGCCGACTGTAATGGAAGAGGAGATTATTGCATAGAAGAAACCAAAATATTTTTAAAGATTGGAGATAGCTTAGACATTTCGTTTAAGAAATCGTAGGACCATGGAAGTGTGGTGGAATGTGTTTGAGTTAAAGGAAAGATTGACTCATCAAAGACCACATGTCGAGATATGATGATTTTACTCATTTTAAGATCAAGGCATCGAGAGCCTTTGTGGCTTGATGGGTAACCAAGAAAAAGGCAAGGTGTGGAGAGAGCTGCAAGTTTATGAAGAGATGAGTGATTTATATTTAGAAAACACAAGCCTCCAAAGGTTTTAAGGTGATTATAGGAAGGTTTTTCTAAAATAATTTATGTAAGGGATACAATTTTATACCGAGGTGGAGGGAAGAATATTTAGAATGTGAACTACAGTGTGGAGAGCTTCTACCTAGCAAGATGGTGATAAGCAAACTTGGAAAATAAGAGTTTGGATCGTGTTATTGATGGTTCGAATAATTTCTCTCAGAATGTTCGTTCTGTTGAGAAGTATGAGGACACGAGATTCGAACAACAATACCATTAGAGGAAAATACGTTGAGGAAGTCGGTATTGTTATACTCGCCACCGTTATCACATTGAAACGATTGAATAATAATGTTGAACTGCGTCTTAACAAAAGCACAGAAGTCAGTAAATTTTGACAAGACTTCAGATTTTTTTTTAGTGGATAAACCCAGAGGAAATGAGAAAAATGATCAAGAAACAAGATGTAATCTCGGATACCGCTGTTATTAGAGATTGGCGATTTTCATATGTCTGAATGAACTAGTTCAAATGGTGCAGAAACAATTTTATTTGAATCATAAAAAGGCAGGTGTTTACCCAGTTGACAAGCTTCACAAACAAGTGGAAGTTTTCCATTATTACAAGCCGGGTCTTTTATATCAAATAGAAGGATCAGCAACAACAAAATATTAAAGAGTGTTCTCCAATTTATTGGAAAGAGACGGAACAAATTATAGGTCCCCGGAACTGTCACTGCGGAGCATTATATTCTTAGTGCTGAGATCCTTTATAAAAAAACAAATGAGTCGAATTCGAACAAACATCAATTATCGCTAGTAAACCGACGAACATAAATAAGATTTTTAAAAATATTGGGAGCAATAAGAACATTATTCAAAAACAGAAGAGAAGAGTATGAAGATAAAGAAGTTGAGCCAAATGATGTAATAGGAATTTAAAAACTGTTTCTGACTTTGACTGATATTCCGGTGTAGTTTTTGAGAACGCAATTTAGGGTACCTGACGACGATGCTAAATGAGCTGCACTAGAATCCATATACCAGTTTGCAGCACTAGGATCAGCAATAGTCAAGGTGTTAAAAGCTTGAGCAAAGTCTGCGGTCGGTTGGAATTGAGTGTAAACAACAAGAGCATGAGTTTGCGTAGGACGTTGAGGAGCTGATCCGAGAATACCCCGGTTTGTTTGCTGATTCCATGGCGTAGGGAACCCAGGCCACTGCATCATTGGTCCCTGCATTATTGGTTCCTGATAGTACGGTAGTGGCCAATACGAAATGGTTTTTTGCCAGTTGTTATTCCAAGGGCGTTTCTGGTTGTTGTATCCGCGACCATGACCTCTGTTATTTTGCCTCTTGCTTCCATTGTTGAAGCTTGAGGTTGCTGTGTTTCTGTAATGACTATGAGAACAGTTGAAGAAGAATCGCTATCACCAGTCACTGGCGTTTTATTTCCCTTCTTGAGTCTTGTTTCTTTGTTGAGAAAAAAATGATTTTTCTGAGTCGAATGAAGGAAAGAGTTTCTTGTGTTTGACGACATTGATGATGTTTTCAAACTTTGCATTCAGACTGTTAAGAAGGTACATCACGAGTGTTTTGTCAGAGATTGAAGCATCTAGGTTGGCCAAGAGATCTAAGATTGACTTCAGAGTTTGACAGTACTTGTGCACTATTTGATCCCAAATTTTTATGATGCGCAAGTCATGATTGAGTTGGATTACTCGAGCTTCTTTATTGTTCCTGAATTGGTTCTCAATACGTAATTAGATATCACGAGCGGAGCCACCGGTTTGGAAGGTGCTGCGAACCAATGGTTGAGTCAGAGTCTCGTATAACAAGAGTTTCACCAAGCCATCTCTCTTCTTCCATGGCGTGTCATTATCGTTAGCAGGGATAGAAATGCCGTCGATGTGACCTAACACGTCAAACGCAAGACAATGAGTGAGGAACAACTTGTGATCTTCAAAGTCGAGGGATGTGGGATTTGATGTTTGGGACGCCAAAAACACGCTCGTAACCATTGGGATTTGGGGCAGCCCTTGATACGGAACAGAAGAAGAGAAAGATGAGAGAAAAAAGCTTAGAAAGATAGAAAAGAGAAGAAGATTAAGGTCTCAAAAACTTGTAGCTCTGATACCATTAAATTGATTATCTTTCTTTGATCAACAATGTACACGGTACAAAGTATATATACACAAGGTTGTTTTACAGTTCCTCTATATTAGGGATATAGTCAACTATCGAGATCCAAGAATATAAGAACATTTGGTTTGGTATATTCTTTCATTGTTATCCAAAAATAAATCTTTCAGCCATAAAAATAAATAAATTAAGAAACACAAAGATGCATAATCTAAAATATTAAAAATGAAGTACATATAAATAAGGCTAATTCTTGGATCCCCTAAGGTGAACCTCTAGGTTCACCATCCAATAGAGTTGTATTATTTCAGATTTGACATCTTTTTAAAAAAGAAACAAAATCTTATTAAGTTATATTATGTTTTTAAAAATAAAATTAAAACATAAATAAAAATAAAAATAAGAATAAATAATAAAAACAAAAATAATTTTTTTTAAAGAAAATATTTTAACACTAAACCCTAAAAATTTAGGGTTTATGATTTACCCAAGGGTTTAGGGTTTAGGATTAGAGTTTAGGATTTAGTGTTTATGATTTACCAAAGAGTTTAGGGTTTAGGATTAGAGTTTAGGGTTTAGTGTTTATAATTTACCAAAGGGTTTAGGGTTTAGGATTAGAGTTTAGGGTTTAGTGTTATAATATTTTTTTAAAGAATTTTTTTATAAAAGTGATTTAAAGGTTTATGATTTACCTAGGGGTATAGGATTAGAGTTTAGGGTTTAGTGTTAAAATATTTTCGTTAAAAAAATTTATTTCCGTTTTATTAATTATTATTATTTTTTATTTATTTATTTTTTTATTCTTAAAAACATAGTATAACTTAACAAGATTTTGTTTCCTTTTTTAAAAGATATCAAATATGTAATAATGCAATTCTATTGGGGGGTGAACCTAAGAATAACTCAATAAATTTTTACCCTAAATTTTCCTTAATAATTGCAATCACTAGGTAATAACCCGCGCCTTTTACGGAATGGGATTATTATTTTTGTTACTTTTAAGTTAAAAATGATATTATGTCTGTTTAGCTTATATATTCTTTCAGTTTTACGTTATTTTATTTAATGTCCTAAAATATAACTATCATTTTAAAGCTATATTTATTTTGGTTTGTTTGGTTTAAAGGTGTGATGTTTTTAATTTTTTTGATGATAACCAAAAACTATTGTTATTTTTTTTGGTTTCGTTTTATATAAATTTTAGACATGTTTGATGTCGAACTAATAGTTTCCTATTATAATTTCTAAAGACATGTACAATCAAATAAAATCTAAATAATATTTGAAGAAAAAAAGAAAATAAAATTATTAACACAAAAAATTCACTACAATTTGAGCGATAATGAAAGAAAACATTAAAAAAAAATCATCTTCAATAAGAATTAAAATTCTCACTTGTGGTGAATATTTAGTTATATAGTCTCTCATGTCAACGTGTACATATATGTATATGTAAATGTATATAAATGTGATGATAAATATATGAATATACCGTTAATTAAGATTTAAAACATTTTTGTTCAAATAATACATGATAGTAAATTCTTAAATAAAATTAAGTAAAACTAAAACAAACCTAGAAATTAATAACATTTTTTATATGAAGAAAATCAAATTGTACCCATAAACAATAACAATAATATATATTACAAAATGACATCTTTACTTGGTACCTGAATTCTGTTTTTAATCAATTTTTTTGATTTTTATTTCTTTTTAAAGCTTTTTTATTTCTGATTTTTTTCTACCAATTTGATTTTGATTCTAATTCTTGGTTTGATATGAAAACTTTTTTTAAAAATGTTAATATTTGACTAAACTAAAGATTTGACTTTACGTGTGGTGTTTTTCACCTCAGTTTCTTTAATTCATAATCAATCACAATATCTGTTGTTATTGTGTACCGAATTTTCAACCATGACTAACTTCGGCAAGGTACGAAACTTTCAATTTTTACAAACATTTTCATCGCAACATTTTAGTTGATGCGAATCTTAATGATTTTGTAATTTTTTGCAATAAATATATTATTCATTAGTTTTACGTAGAAAATTTTAATTTATTAATACAAATGCTAAAATGTAGGAAAATGAATTAATTTAAAATAATGTATAAACTCATTATTTATTAAATTTAAAAAATTAGTGTGTGAACGTATTAATTGTCAAATGTTTGTGAAACTGACACGTGTCAGTTATGGTGTGAACACATTTATTACAATGCTTCTCTTTTAATATATAAGATATATGCCATTGATCAAAACACTGTAGTTTATTACTTTCTCTACCCTATTTTTTTGTACTACAATATGCCAACAAATATTCTCATTATGCCAGTGATTTCTATATCAATGCAATTAAGATAACGTCAGTTAAGTAAAGTAATAATTGTGTAATACATCATGCCAAGAAATATTCCCACTTACCCAATATGAAATATTGCGTTAGGCCAGAAGGAGTTAACAATAATTTATTCAATGTTTGTGCTACAAGTAAAAAAAACTTGAATAAACTGATGTTACATTTTTTTTACTAAGATAACTGATGATATGTTGTGCCTTTTTAATTTTTTAAATGTCTTTTTGTTAACTTGGTTTCATTATTGTTTTGTTTAATGAAAATATTCTTAATAAAAAATTGAGCATTATAATCAACTTTAAAATAAAATATTTATAATTTAATTTAATAAATCCATAAGTATACTTAGACCTCTAGTTAGGGGTGTTCCAAAAAACCGAACCGAACCGAATCAAACCGAACCAACCGAACATAAACCAATCCAAACCAAAGTCATTATCAATAGTTTGGTTTAAGATATTTCCAAACCGAACAAACCAAACCGAGACCTAATCGAATTAAAACCAAACCGAACCGATAAATTAATGTTTTTTGTTATTATTTTAATTAAACATATTAGCAATATACATATACTAAAGTTTTTAAAATAAATTCATATTCTATTTCAGTTCTAGTTAATAGAACTAATATATTACGTTTATAATAATAGAATCATGGGTATAGGTTTTGAATATGGAATTTGAGTGAAGTTATAAATAAATACTCGTACAGCTTACGTATAACATTTATAATCTCACATGGAAGATGATTAATTGTAGACCTTTTCATTAGTATAAGAGATATTAGTTATGATGTTTGTTATTTTTTTTAAAAATATATTTATTTTAGTGAATTTTGATTTGAATGTGTTCTTCTTAATTTCTTGTGGGTTTTAAAATTTTTATTCAATTTTATATTGGATTTAATTTACATAATTTATTATTTTTTGCCACCACGTGATGATTTCATGGACATATGTTTATGGACATACGGTTAAGTTTTAAAATATATTTTTTCTTAAACGAACTAAACTAAGGGTGCACAATTAAACCGAACCGAAATATAAACCGAACCGAATATAAACTAAACCAAAACCGAGTTAAACCAAGCTACTCATGGTTTACTTCAGTTGGAAAAATTCTAAAATTGAATTAACTAAACCGAACCGAACCCAAACCAAACCAAGAAAGTAACCGAAGTGCTCACCCTTACCTCTAATACTTTACTGTTCACTTTACCAAATAAATTAAATAAAAGCACAAAGAAAAAATACATTCTCATAATTTATAAATAAAGCTCAATCACATTGAAAAAGATACACCAATGTCAAATCTGAATAACATACGAATCTATAATTTAATAAGTATAAAATTTAACTTATGTCATTTTCAAAAGTTAAAAACATATAGTTATCAAGAACAAAAACCTGCATGGACGCGCGGGTCAAAAACTAGTTAAATATTAATTACGTAAAAAATTAATTTACATTTTCATATATATAAATAATTTGATACTCGATTTTAATTTTTTAAGAACATTAAAAAATAATCTATCATGATAGTGTTTGAATAACTATTGAATGTATTAATAAGTATTGTAAGATAACTATGTTTGCACGCACGAATTAAACATAGTTTAGTATGTGTAACTTAAAAAATGGATTTTCTTACATAATAAATTCAATAAACATGAATAAATTTAGTTAACATAAATATTTTTTTTTACCAAATTTTGAAAAACTGATCATTGTTAAGATGATTCTTTTTTCCATATATAGATTATAACTGTTTTCATGTAATTTTTTGCAGCAATTTACATCTAATATTTAGTATGATCGATATAAAAGTTATAAAGATGACGAGAACAATAGTCATCAATAGAAAAGACAAGAAAAGTTATATGGAGGGGAGACATACAAGTCGTGAAGCTCGTTGTATATTAGTTCATAATATCCTTAACACATTGCATATTGTTTGCATTAGCATATTGTTTGATTTTAATAAAAGGACCAATACATACTGAAGTTAATTAAATACTATAACAGAAACTCTTCTGGTCTTTTTTTGAACACAAACTCTTTTGGTTTGTTTTCTCCTAGTACAACGCAGCACAATCAGTGGACTTAAAAGAAACAAGCTCAGAAGAAGTATCATAACCAATCAACCAATTGTTCTGAGCTCTGTTCCCAAAGATTGCATCTTCCGTCGGACCAACACACGAAATCGCCAAACAATAGCTATCTCCAGTATTATCATACATATTGTATTTATCCAACACAAGATCCGCACCACCCGAGAAATGCATTGTGATCACCGGAAATATCTCTGTGTCAGCAGTTTTGTAACAAAACATATCCCCTGAAAAAGGTTCTCTCGCAACCTTCACCACGCTATCCACAGCATCCTTCACTTTGTTACAAAAGCTATCGGGCAAGTAGGTGTAAGTGGTTCCCGAATCTATGATAATGTTGCCTTCTAAGGAGTAAAACGGTGTCCCTAATGTCTCAACCCGGTTCTCTCCGACGCTTATCGCGTCTAGGTTTAGGTAGTAGAAGATGGGTTTCTCCGTCCTTGTAAACATAGTGGTTGATACAGTCCCATCTCCTGACACGACAGCGTTACTTCCAAAGTTGAGCTTACTAGTTTCCTTACGAGAAAAACAGTAAGAGAAAAAACTATAAAAGTTTTGGCCCATCTGAGTGATGAGAGACGAATCTCCCCGTGCTAGACCAATAATGCCCGAAGCGGCTGGAGCTGAAGCCAGTGAGTTGTTGTGACCACAACCAATGGTAGTTTCAGGCATCACAAAAGGTTGTCCTGTAGTAGATTGGAACGTGACCGTCTCGGTCGCGAAGGTTCCTTTGGAATAGCTTTGGTCTGCGTAGTGAGTCTCGTAACGACAAGGGTTGTTAGGGTCCTCGTTGCATGGCTTCTCTTTGTAGGTTGATGATTTTGAAGGGTCGAATATGGGAGCTTGTTGGTCGTAGCAGCTAAGACAAGGCAAACATTGTGTCCATACGATGTCACTTCCCGTGTCTATGAGAGCCTCGATCTCTACCGGAGGAGTACCGATTTGTAGCTTCATTAGATACTCGGAGGTGGTAAAGACGGTGTTGGCGTAGGGTGATCCAAGCTCACCATCATCTGTTTTAGAGAAACGAGAAGAAGAAGATGAATTAGAGGTAGAGCGACGGTTGATTACGTCGATGGTGAAGCCGCCGGGAGGTGATGATGAGGCAGTGGCGGTAAAGAGAAAAGATATAATGATCTGAAGAGAAAGAAAGATCATTGTGGCTGTAGGCGACATGATCAAATAGTAGTATTGGTTTTGAGACACGATGATAATGTCCTTCATGCATGTACATATTTATACATGTTGGACGTTTTCACGTAATTGTTAATTGTCCTCATTTGTCAACATTGTCTTCATATTATGTTATTTCCATTATGGTTTTGTAACGTGGAAAATTTACAATTCTTTTTTTTTTTGTGTCAAACAAATTTAGATTTTATTACTAATGTTCTACTTTGTGTTCGGGTTTTCCTTTTGTCATGATTTTGAAAGTATACCTTTTTAAATCATAAACTTTCAAACATGAAAAATGTCAGTCAAGATGTTTTTCTAATTGACTTTGGACATTTGTAGGTTATGGATAAACTCTTTTTTTTTTCTGATAGATATTGTGAACAGAAACCTATATATAATTCTAGAGAGCAAGATTATCAATTGTCCCTAGAGCATGGTCCTTAGAATTTTTAATTGTTATTTTTAGATTAGGACTTTGTTTAGGACTTTTGTAAAAAACTGAATATTGGTGGGACTTTTTATTGGTTCTTAGGTAATTTTTTTTTTTGAAATAAGTAGTTACAAATATAATATATAACAAAATCCCAATTTAAATTTAATAACACCTATGAAAAACAAATTTATTATTTTAATAAAAAATTAGAAACATTTTATTACATCCAAAAAAAATTACAATCTTCAGGAAATAAAAGCAAACATACAATTTATTCATAGGAACTTTTATAAATTATATGTTACTAGGTGATTTTCTCGTGCACATGCACGGATATGAATATTCATAAAAGTAAAATTTTATAATAACTGATTGATATTTAGTTTTAGTTTTAAATCAGTTTATATGTATAATTTATATTAATAAATATTATGTTATTCTAATTATACATATGACTTTGGATATATTATTGTTTGTTTATTTATTTTTGGATCAATAGTCGGTTTGGTTATCAATTTGGTATATTGGATAATATCTATTTTTTTGAATTCAGCTATGCTATTTTCTATTCTAAATATAATAAACTTTGATTAATTTTCTTATTTTCATTTCGGTTGGTTATTGTCTTAGATATGTAAATATTATAGTTAAATTATGTATAACTTAATATACATATTGTGCTTAAAATGCAATAAATATATTAATGGGGGTATTACTATTTTGTGAACTTTCCTTTTTAATAAAGTCATATTATATACATATATTTTCGTTTTTTAATTTGTTTTCAAATTTTAGAAATATTTCCTTTTTATTATATATGTTATTTGGAAAAGGGTAAAAAGAAACTAAATAAAAAATTAATAATAATCTTAAAATCTAACAATTCATTAAGGGTATCTATGTAATCAACAATCGCGAGAGTTAACGTTAGCGTGACACGTAAGAAACTGACTTCTCAAATAATATTATAGAGATTTGGAAAATTTCCAAATTTAACCCATATATTTTCAATCAAATCATTTTTTAATTGTTTATGGGCTTGTCTATTCCGAAGGCTCGTTCGACGATCCATTGAGCCGATATTCGAAGGCATGTTGACGGAAAATGTATCCACATCTTCTCTTTCTTGAAACTCATATTTGTTATACTGAGTGAATGATGACTGTTCCTCTTCGACGATCATATTATGGAGTATGATACATGCTCTCATAATATTTCCTACTTTCTCTTTATCCCATAATTTAGACGGATTTTTGACAACGGCAAATCTAGCTTGTAGGACTCCGAAGGCACGCTCAACATCTTTTCGAACTGATTCTTGGGTTTGAGAAAAACATGAATGCTTCTGACGTTGTGGTAGTCGGATTGATTGAATAAAAGTCGCCGATTTCGGATAACCATCTGTGAGATAATATGCCAAATGGTACGGACTACCATTAACATAGAAGTTCACTTGTGGCGCAATGCCGTTAATAACGTCATCAAAAACAGGTGATCTATAAGAAATATTAAGATCGTTCATAGTACCTGGAGCTCCAAAAAACGCGTGCCATATCCAGAGGTCATAGGAAGCTACCGCCTCCAACACAATTGTTGGTTTTCCGGTTCCTCGTGAATACATTCCTTTCCAAGTGGTTGGGTAATTCTTCCACTCCCAATGCATACAGTCGACGCTTCCAATCATCCCAGGGAATCCGCGTTGTTCTCCGATATGTAGTAGTCTTTCCAGATCCTCCGGTGTGGGACGTCGTATGTATTCATCGTCAAACAAGGTGATTATTCCGGCGGTAAAATTGTGCAAACATTTTCGAGCCGTACTTTCAGCAAGACAGATATACTCGTCTACTTTATCCGCCGCACCACCGTATGCCAATTGTCGAATTGCTGCAGTACATTTTTGTAGAGGTGAAAGACTTGTCCGTCCGGTTGCATCTTGTGATTGTTGAAAATACGGTATCTCTGTAGAGAGACGATGCAGAATACGCAGGAACAAAGCTTTGTTCATTCAAAACCGTCGCCGGAAAAGAGCGGGAGAGTACGTGGGATTTTTGCTAAAATAATCATTCCAAAGGTGATCATGGCCTTCTTCCCGGTTTCTCTCAGTAACAATACGTTTTTTCGCTCTTTTGGTTCTGGAAAAGGGGCATGGTTGTTAAAATATTCTTCAAATGGAGTTTCAAGATCTATCTCATCCTCATCATCTTGATGATAATGATAATGGGAAGAAGATGCCATTATAAATGAAGTTGTGTTTGTGATTGTTTAGGAAGAATCGTATTTATGTTTATAGAAATCACAAGAGCAATCTCAATATTTATAGAAAAGAAGTAGTGGTTCTGATTTGCGTAGGAAAGAAGACCCGTGAAGAGTAAAGAAGACTTGTGATTACATAGTGGTTCTGAATTGCAGAGGAAAGCAGACTTGTGATACTTTAGTTATAATGTTGGGTGGTTGCTGAAACAAACAAAACACATGCGAGTTATAACATAGTTTTGGTTATAAAAACGTTACAACTACATACAAATACCTACTTAAACACTATGATCATGGCTATTACCAGTACTACAAACACCATAACACATAGTACGAGTTCAAAGCGATGCTTATTACTAGTTCCACATAAGTCACCCACAATCTTCTCAAGTTCAGCAAACTTCAGCACCGTCTCATAATTGAAAGCCCTTTGCTGGTTTAGTTCTGACTCGTAGTCACTCACAGATGCTAGATGGTCTACCTTATCAGAGAGCTGGCAACCTGTGTATCCATGGCTCTCATATCTTCCATTACCGCGACGTCTCACCACTTCCAAATGTGGCAGTCTCTGTCGTCCATGTTCACACATGTGTAGTACCTTCTCCCCGGATAATTCCCGGTGACTGATGTGGATAGAATCAGCTTGCTACCACAGTAGCATTCTCTCGGGACGCCAAACTTGACCTCAGGCTGCGGAGGGTACCGAACCCGCGAGGATTCAAGCTGAGCTTGGTCCAGCAGTATATCAGCTTCAAACTCATCATCGGTTTGGCTGTGGCCACTGTATGCTGAGTCTCCTAAACCGTAGTCCTCCGAATCAGACGGCTGCGTATAGCTGTAATCCAGTCCCATTGCTGCTGTAACCTGACAAGTACATTGATTTTATTTAGTACATAGATTTTATTACAACGAGAATAATAAGAACATCAATAAGCAAGCAGGAAGTTTAAGTAGACAAAGATTTGCTGAAACAAACATTTTTATTTCATAAACGAAGTACATAAGGAAGTTGGGAAGAACGTTAAGACATCAAATTCAAACAAAACAACAAATTCAAACAAAACAACAAGACATCAAATTCAAACAAAACAACAGAACGTTCAAACATCACATTAACTAAAACAACCAGCATTAAGCAACTCTAAACCAGCTTTAAGAGTTTGTTCTTGACAGCTTCCTCAGCCTTGCTAAGTGGTTCCTTCTTAGCAAGGAGAGTGTCAAGAATGGCGAGCTTGGTAAGCATTTCTTTCATCGACAAATCTTTCATCTTCAGATCCCACATAGTCTTATACTCATCTAAAGCCTTCCCTTTACCATTATTCTTTCTTCCTATAGCAGCCTTCACACCTTCGGGTCGCATCTCCACGTCATCAACGTCACTAGCTTCACCAACATTGGTGCTTGAATTTTGCGAGACAGACTCACTTGTTTTTCTCTTGGAACTGGAATTAGTTTTACTCGGGTTCAGGCTTAACAATTTCTGTTCATATCTGAGGACACACCATGCATGCTCAACACTAAACTTCTGGTTGTGGTTGGCGAAGTAGATATCATGAGCCAACTTGAGGATGTCTGTCTCAGAATGACCACTCCCGAGTTGTCTTTCAGCAGCAGAGAATGCTCCACAGAACTTGTTCGTCCAGTCATTGATCTTATGCCACCTCTGCTTACAATGATGGTGCTCTGTCTTGTCACCGTCTGCTATAGCATGAGGATTTTCTGCGTAGTAGTCTCCAACTTGTTTCCAAAAGGTGCCTGACTTCTGATCAATTCTGACAACAGCACCCTTAAATGTGTTAAGCCAGGCGCTGATGAGTACCTCGTCATCAGCTGGAGTCCACTTCTTTCTCTCCCGACGCTCTGTTGGAGGGTCTTCAGCTGGAGCTGGAGCCTCAGATTGTTGGGAACTAAAAGGGGGGGGGGATTTCGGAGGCTCCTGTGTGTACGCTACTGTAAGGAAAAATTCCATAAGGAAAGTTTTCACTTTGGCCTTGAAGAAATTCTACATAACTAGAATACTGGGTAGTCGGAATCCTTGGATCCATAGCACCGATATTTTTCGAAAATAAACCAGAATGGTAACTTAAGTTTTTTCCGATAAGAGTATGGATGAGCACAATGAATGAACTATAGCAGGGTTTTATTAGCATGTGAAAGCTAACAAGAAATAAGTAACAACAACTAACTACAATCTACCTAAGTCTAATCAGAAGTTATTACACATTTCTCAATTTCATTAAATTAAAAATAAAGTTGGTTAAAGTGGAACTTCAATACGACTACCTATCTTCGCGCTTATAGAAAAGAAACCTAT